CGCTCAGCCAGTGAGCGGGAACCGGTCTCCACATGGGATCCGAACCCTCGGCGGGAGCGCCGCCACACTCCCAAGCGGCACACTCTCCAGTGCGCCACCGGGCCGGCCCCAAATTTATGTTCTAATTAACAATCTATATGCAAACCAATGCTTAAAATTTGCTCAATTTTAATTTATTTCCACTGGTTGATACATCTCTCTTATGTTTCATTGAATTGTATATAACTTGCCTATTAAATAAATTACCAAGTTTCAATAACATAGCTAGTTTTATCCATCGTAAAAAGAAAATATAGTATAAGCCAATAAATATCATAATGGTACAATAAAAAAATAAGTAAGGGTAAAGACTTGTACCATAACCCTATTTTAATATATAGTTTCTTGGGGTGGAAAAAAGGATAGAAATTTCTATCAATCAGCTTTGGGAATAGTAACCAAAATCCAGACTTCAAAATGGGCTGAGTTGTTTGGACTAATGACTAAAATAACAGAAACTTGACAAGTCATGAACTGCTTGTTCAAAACATGCACCCCTGGCCAGTCTTCAGGAGGAGCATGTAACCTTGCCCCAGTCAGTAATTATCTGTAGTAGGTATAGAAATTTACTCATCACCAACCACAACCTACCAAAGTGTATGGGTGCTGAATGATAAACGTTCAGACAAGCTAACTTGGAATTTTAAAAATTTGAAATTAAAGTAGAACTAGTGCTGGTTCTGAATACAAGCAAGACAAAGCATAAAATCATTTTCTCCCAAAAACTCATAGCTTGCCTATGCACAAAATTAACTTTTAAAAGCAAATTACTACATAGTGTAAAAGCGAAAGTAAAGGTTGCTGATATATAAATTATGCTGAACACATGTAATAAGACAGTACTGAGTATTTCACAGATTAAAACACTGACTTTCCACATGTGAAACGTAGTGTCCTTACCTTACTAGGACGCTGAGAGCTCCCAGTGGAGTCACAAGTGTGGCTGGTGCAAACGCATAAGCAGCAAAGTTGGCCACCTCCCCAGCTCCCACTTGGATATGAACAGAAAAAAAGGTCTCAGATAGGAATTCATGTAATCAACTTAGAAATGCCTGCATTTTATGCAACATCTATATATTAGTCCAACCATATTTAGTAACTTCCGTATTTCCTCCCATCTACTAGTAAGGGTTATGGTTCTCCTGTAAATTACCAACACCAGAATAGAGCCCAAATCAATTAGAAACAACACAAATCTATAATTTAAATTGAAGGAATCTAGTTAATGCTCACATACGTGTTTCAGGAAAAATTTTAAATAGATATTTTTATCCTAGGACAAGAAACACAAATCAATTAAAAGATGCCAACACTGATATAAAGGCACTCCTCCCAAGTCTTTTTCACTGGCTCCTCTTTTTTTAAACCCGAACTCATACTATGTGCCAGTTCCTGTTCTAGGATCAGGAAATGCATCAGGAACCAAAACAAAGACACTGCTTTCATAAAACTCACATTTTTCATGGGGGAAGGGAGACAAACAAAATGCATATGTCAAGTGTTTAAAAGTGCTATGACAAAAAAACAAAGCAAAGGAGGAAGTAACCTACTTCACGCTGTGGTGTTAGTTAGGGGCTCTCACATAAAGAAATTTTTGAACAGTCTGAAGTTGAGCAAGGAGGTTTATACCATGCACCTATCTGGGGTAACACTTCCCAAGCAGGGAGAATAGCAAATACAAAAACCCTGACTGAAGAAAACCTTGGGCATATCTCAACACCAAAAAAGCCTGTGTGGCTCCAGCAAGGGGAGACTGGCTGGTGAGTCAGAGGGTGCCAGGCCACTCTGAACAGGACCTTTGTGAGTCCCATTAAGGATATTATCTGAGTTGAAAAGCCACTGCAGGGGAGAGGCGTAATTTCACAAAAGGATACCTCTTGGCTACAGTGTTTTCTAAAATGGCTATGCCAATTTTCACACAGCAGTCAGTGTAGAAAGCTCCTTTTGTTCCACATTCTCCCCAACACTGGGCATGGTCAGACCTAAATATCTGTTAATTTGTGAGGGTACAGGATGTTTTCAATTGCATTTCCAATTTTCATTTCTTTATTGGCCATGTGAAATCTTTCAGGGAAATAGCTGTTCAAGGTTATCCCCTATCTATTACTGATTTAAGGTAAGTAAATATTTTGGGCATGAATCGTCTGTTGGTTAACCATGTTGCAATTTTTTTTTTCCAAACTTTGCAGTGTGCTTTTTCATTCACTAAATAAACTTTTTCCTTTAATTCCTAAAATGTATTCTATAGATGGTTAGTTCCTACTGGAGTTGGTTTTTAAAATTTTTTATTATAAGCATATTCGTTATTACAAAGTGTGATTTTTCTTTATGCCCTTTACCCAATCTATCCCTCCCCAAACCCCCACTCTGCCTCCCCACCATCTCTAGTGTCCTTAAGTTTGTTGTCTCCTTCTGAAAGTTCAATGTACTGTTTTGGTCCTTTCTTTGTCTCTTTCTCTCTTCCTTCCTTTCCTTCTTTCTTAGCACCCAGTTATGAGTGAGAACATGTGGTATTTCTCTATCCTCGCCTGGCTTATTTCACTTACCATAATTTTCTCGACTCATCCATGTTGTTGCAAATGGCAGAATTTCATTCTTTTTTATGGCTGAGTAGTACTGCATTGTGTATATATACATTTTCCTTATCCAGTCGTCCATTGATGGACACTTAGGTTGGTTCCATACTTTGGCTATTATAAATAGAGCTATGGTGAACATGGCAGTGCAGGAATCCCTCTGACATGATGATTTCCATTCCTTTGGATATATGCACAGTAGTGGGATTGCTGGATAATATGGCAGTTCTATCTGTAGATGTTTTGAGAAATTTCCACACTATTTTCCATAATGGCTGTGCTAACTGACAGTCCCACCAACAGTGTAAAGAGTTCCTCTTTCCCCACATCCTTGCCAGCATTTGTTATTCTAGGTCTTTTTAATTTTGGCCAGTTGAACTGGTCTGAGGTGATATCTCAATGTGATTTTGATTGCATTTCTCTGATGACTACTAATGATGAGCATTTTTTCATGTACCTGTTGGCCACTTATATATCTTCCTTTGAAAAATTTCTACTCATCTCCTTTGCCCATTTTTAAATTGGATTATTTGGTTTTTCACTGTAGAGTTGAGTTCTTTATATATTATGGATATTAACCCCTTGTTGCATGTATAGTTTGTAAATATTTTCTCCCATCCTGTAGGTTGTCCTTCTGCTCTAATTGTTTCCTCTGCTGTGCTGAAGCTTTTTAGTTTGACACAGTTCCATTTGTCTATTTTTTATTTTGTTGCTTGTGCTTTTGGGGTCTTATTCATAAAGTCTTTGCCCAGTCCTACTTCCTGGAGTGCTTCCCCTTAGTAATTTATGGTTTTGGGTCTTATACTTCAGTTTTTAATCCATTTTGAGTTGATTTTAGCATATGGTGAGAGGTACAAGTCCAGTTTCATTCTCCTACATATAGAAGTCCAACTTTCCCAGCACCATTTATTGAAGAGGCTGTCTTTTCCCCAAAGTGTGTTCTTCCAGCCTTTGTCAAAGAACAGTTGGCTGTAAGAATTTGGGTTGACTGCCGGGTATTCTATTCTGTTCCACTGATCCAAGAGTCTGTTTTTATGCCACTAACATGCCATTTTGGTTACAACAGCTTTGTAATATAATTTGAAGTTGGGTAGTGTTACGCCTCTAGCTTTATTATTTTATTCAGGATTACTTTGGTTATTTAGGGTCTTCTATACTTCCATACGAATTTTAGGATTGATTTTTCTATTTCTGTGAAGAATGTCACTGGTATTTTGATGGGTATTGCATTGAATCTGTAAATTGCTTTGGGTAGAATGGACATTTTCACATTAATTCTTTCCATCCAAAAGTATGGTATGTCTTTTGATCTTTTTGTGTCCTCTCTAATTTCTTTCAGTAGTTTTGTAGTTCTCATTGTAGAGATCTTTTGCCTCCTTGGCTAAAATGATTCCTAGGTATTTTATTTGTTTGGTAACTATTGTAAATGGCCTTCCTTTCTTGGTTTCTTTTTCTGCTAGTTTGTTACTGGAGTAAATAAACGCTACTGATCTGGGGGTGTTAATTTTATATCATTCAACATTACTGAAACTGTTAATCAGCTCTAAGAGTTTTTTAGTAGTCTATAGCTTTTTCTATATATAAGATCATGTCATCTGCAATCAGGGATACTTTAACTTTATTCTTTCCAATCTGGATACCCTTTCTTTCTTTCTACAGCCTGAATGCTCTGGCTAGTACTTCCAATATGATGTTAAACAGGTGTGGTGAAAGTGGACATCCCTGTCTTGTTCCTGTTCTGAAAAGAAAAGCTTTCAACTTTTCCTATTAAAGATGATACTGGCAGTTGGTTTGTCATAAATGGCTTTTATTGGCTTGAGATAATTTCCTTCTATGCCTAATTTGCTGACAGTCTTAATCATGAAGCAATGTTGAATTTTGGTGAATGTTTTTTCTGCATCTCTTGAGATAATCATGAGATAATCACATGGTGTTTGTCCTTGGTTTTGTTGATGTGGTGTATCACATTTATTGACTTGCATATGTTGAACCATACTTGCATCCCTAGAATGAATCTCACTTGATCATGGTATGTAATTTTTTTTCATGTGTTACTGTATTTTGACCTCTAATATTTTGTAGAGGATTTTTGCATCTATGTTCATCAAGGATACTGAACTGTAACTTTCTTTTTTTGCTATATCTTTATCTGGTTTTGGTAACAGGGTGATACAGGCCTCATAGAATGAGTTTGGGAGAATGGCTTCTGTTTCAATTTTTTGGAAAATTTTCAAGAGAAGTGGTATTAATTCTTCTTTAAAGATTTGATAAAATTCAGCTGTAAAGTCAGTCCTGGGCTTTTCATTCTTACTGCTTCAATCTCTTTGCTTGTTATTGGTCTGTCCAGGTTTTCTATTTCTTCTTGGTTCACTCTTGGAAATTTGTATGTGTACAGTAATATATCCATTTCCTCCAGGTTTCCATACGTATTGGCATATAGTTATTTATAATAATCTCTGATGATTCTTCATATCTCTGTGGTGTCGGCTGTAATATCTCCCTTTTCATTTCTGATTTTTTTAATTTGGGTCTTCTCTCTTCATTTTCTTGTTAACCTAACTAATGGTTTGTCTATTTTATTTATCTTCTCAAAAAACTTTTCGTTTCATGGATCTTTTGTATCATTTTTTGGGTCTCTATTTCAGTTAGTTTTGCCCCAATCTTACTTATTTCTCTTCGTCTACTAGCTTTAGGATTGGATTGTTGTTTTCTAGTTCTTTGAGGCATAGTTAGGTCATTTATTTGAAGTCTTTCCATTGCTTTCTTTTTTAAAATCTTTCTCCATTCTTTTGATGTGTTTATTGCAATAAGTTTCCCTCTTCATACTGCTTTTGCAGTATCCCACAGGTTTGGGTATGATATATCATTTTTTTTTTTTTTTAAAGATGACCGGTAAGGGGATCTTAACCCTTGACTTGGTGTTGTCAGCACCACGCTCAGCCAGTGAGCGAACCGGCCATCCCTATGTGGGATCCGAACCTGGGGCCTTGGTGCTATCAGCACCGCACTCTCCCGAGTGAGTCACGGGCTGGCCCAGATATATCTTAACTTTCATTAGTTTCAAGAATTTTTCTGATTTTCTGTTTAATTTCTTCTTGGACCCATAGGTCATTGAAAAGTGTTGTGTAGTTTCCATGCACTGGTATAGCTTCCAGAATTTTGCTTGTTATTGATTTCCACTTTTAATCCATTGTGGTCTAAAAAGATACTTGGAATGATTTCAAGTTTTTTAAAATTTGCTGAGACTTGATCTGTGACCTAACATGGTCTATCCTGAAGAATGTTCCATGTGACAAGAAGAATGTGTATTCTGTAGTTGTTGTATGAAATGTTCTGTAGATGTCTGCCAGGTCCAAATAGACTAAGGTGTAGTTTATGTCATGTGTGTTGATTTGTTGCCTGGAAGATCTGTCCA